GACAAATTATTTTATTGTTCTTTAAGTAAAATTATTAAATAGGTTTAATTTGAATAATTGCTTTTATATCATCAACTGATATATTGATGAAATATTTTTATATAAAAATAGTAAATAAATAAGAGTTAAAAATAATTTTAACAATTATAACAGTAGAACTTCCGGTATTGGCAAACTGAAACATTGTAAATTCTATAAAAATAACGAATTTATTATAAATCATTAGGTGAAAAACTGTGTTATTAGGATATAAATATTGAAAAAGATTTAGTTTATCTAAAAAATTTTATATATAACTAACGATGAATTAAAACAAATGATTTTATCAAATGAATCAAAACTTAATATATTTAATAATGATTGTGAAGATATGTTCAATATCTAGTTGGGTAGAAACATGAAACATCGAATATTTTACCAACAGTTAAACACGGGTAAGAAAATGTTAATCTATGATTACAATCTCATATTATGGTTTTCTGTTTTAGTTTTTATTAAAGATAAGATGATTGAAGGTGGGTATAAATTAATTTAAACTAAATATTTATTTAAATTATTAAGAAGATATCAGATTGATTATTTTATTTTTATACAAAAAAATCATCCTTAACACACTTCAAATGTTGTTATATATTATCTTAATGAAATAGAAGTAAATTTAGTTGAATACCCATCATAAAATTTTGATTTAAACTCGATTAAGAATATTTTGGTTTAATTAAAGAGGAAATGGTACTCCTTCGATTGGGGCCCCATGAGGAGGAATACTGAGGAAATTGGTAGATTATGATAAATTAAGTTAAAAGAAAAAACATCAGAAATATGGTATTCAATTGATTTAGATATATTGCAGAATTACTTTAACAGTTTTTATAAACATGCTTTAGAAGTTTAATATTTTGTAATAAACATGACTGTTATTAAATTTATTACATTTTCTTATTTTAAATATAATATTTAAAAAAATTTATCTACTATTATTTTATTACTGCGGAGTTTTGGCCCAGGAATACAACTCATGATAATGTAATACGTGAAATAAAATTTGATCTAATTCATATCTACTACATTGTTAATTATGTTTACTCATTTATTCATTTAAATATTAGGGTCAAATCTTAAAGAAATTTTTTTCTAAAAGTATTTTCTGTATAAAATAGGTTACTGAAATTACATTTTTAATAAAAAAAAGATTAGTTTAAGTTAAAAATTCTAGTGATTTACTATAAGAATAAAACTAACATTATTTTATATGTTTATTTCATATAAAATAAAAAAAGGTTGTTTTTTTATTTTGAAAGCTACTGTATATAATAAATAAAAATATTATTAAAAACATTAATTTATTTTTATAGATTAAATTATTATAAAAATTATCTTAACAGTTTATTTACAAAAAGATCTAAAACTCTTTTGTTTGCACAAAATTTATTTTTTTGCCATAAACTTTTTTTAATTTCTAAATTAGTGAATTTTAAATTTTCATAAGACATTAAGAAAAAAAACTTTTTTAATTTGTATCATAGAGTTTTGGTAAAATAAAGAAATAAATGATTTTTAAAACTTTAAAAAATTTTATTTAAAAGTTAATTTTAATAAATAAAATATTTTATTCGATTAATTATTATCAATAAAAAAATAAAAATAGTAAAATTATTTTATTAAAAATTTTAGATGATTGTTGGTAGATTTATCATTAAAAATTAAATTTATTCTATTTAATTAAAATTATTTTAAATTTTAAATATACAAATACGACGCTTAGATAGTTTTTTAAAAGAAAAGTAATATTTTGTTAAAATACATTAAAGAGTTTTGGATAATAAAGCCGAATCTCTTTTAATTTATACTGGCTATGTTCTACGTTATTCTTCAGGTTGTTTTAGTCTTAATATCATTCTTTTTAAATCTATCTACTTATAATAAATCTTTGTCAATCATTTTAATAATAATGAGGGTTTAATTAAAAATTTGTTTCAGAATCTTAGTTAATTTATTTAACTAAACTTAATCCTTATAAACACATAGTATTAAGTTTAGGTAATAATTAATTAAATAAAATATTAAAATCATTAATCAACCTTTATATTTTTTTAATTTATAATTACAAAAGTTATATGATATAAATTAAATAAAATTAAACCAGTTTGTATTTTAAAAAAATTATTAAATAAAAAACTACAAGTTTTTTTATTAACAAACTGTATTTACACTAGCACTTGTTGTTTAATTTGATAAAATATCCTTAATAAAGTATTATTTCTCATCTAAATTAACTTTTAGATTTTAAAACATATATTCAAATAATATATATTTTTAAATGTTATTTTTAATAATATTACCAATTAATTGTTTTTATATTGTTTGTTTAAGATACAACATTATCATACATTAAAAATAATAAAAATTATCTATCAATTGTTTTTTTGATCAGAATTTTACATGATTTTTTTATACCCTTAATAGTTTTTTTAACTAAGAAATAATCATAAAATAAATTTATTCTAATAAAAAATTCTTGATAAACACCAAATAAAGTTTAAAAATCCTTTCTTTAATAATTCTTTTCCTTTCTTTAATGATTCTATCTTACTTTTTTTATCAGACGAATTATCTTTAGGGTCTTTTACATTGTTTTCACTGGTAACAAATTGAATTTTAGTATTTTGATTTTTAAGAGTTTTAGAAGGATTAAAATCTTCTTTATCATTACTAAGATTTTCATTTTCATCATCAAGAATTTCCCAATAAATATTTTCATTAGGAATCTCATATTGATTATTTTCATCATATTCATTCTTTTCTTCATCATCACTAGTTTTAGATGGTTGATTATTTTGTGGATTTTCACATTGTAGACAAATCTCAGAACTTGTACTTTGTTTTGAATCATCTAATGAAACCTTTTCATTTGATTCACTAAATAATTTGTTTCCATCGATAATTGGATTTTGTTCAATTGATGATTTTACAATGCTTAAAAATAACAACATCATTTTTAGGATTATAAAAATAGAATTTTAATTAATTCACACTAATTAATAAATATTATAAAAACGTATTATTTGCATGTTTTATAGTTTTTTTAAAATGATGAATTCTGTATAAAAATGGAAAGTTAAAATAAATCAATATATCAATCAAAAATGACATTTTTCAATAAATAAAATTATAAAAAGTTAAATCAGTTCATTACTTATTAAACTCAAATTTTTGTTTTTAGAATTATAAAATTTGATTCAAAAGTTTTATATAAAATTATTTTTTTCTATGAAACAACTATAATAAT